GAGAGGACCTAATGGTTTTGCTTGACAAGTCCTCTTATTCTAATAATTTGTTATTTTTTCTAAACATATTTGATTAGCTCTGACAGATTTCAACAAAAAATAGTATATTTGATAGAAACTGTATGTGGTTAGGACTAAGTTAACTTAAAAACCAAAGGGAAAGTGAGGAAACTTGGCAGCCAATTGAACAGCCTCTTGTAACAGATGATTGTAAAGGGGTAATTGTTTGATATTTGAATTATTTTCTTGTCTTAAAATTCGACATTTTTTTACCAGTGTAGAGCAACATGTACTAGATAATAAAGAAACAGAATTCATGAAGCACATTTTCTTACTTTAAAATACTTTCTATCGCTGTTTGCAGTTTACTTTGATCAAATTGTGTGTCACAGGCTACAGAGAAGAAAGAGAATTTTTTTACAGACACAATCTAATTCAGGAAACAAGGCTGGGCTGGAACGCCAGCAGAATCTGTTACCTCACTCTGTGCGATGAAGAAAACTTATGTCATCATTAGCTTCATTGCTTTCACTGTCATCGTAGTCCATCTTCTTTGTCTTCATAATTAGTATCTTTGTCACTTACATTTCACCCCCATGGAAATCCTCATCTGTCTACATGGTGATGATTTTCTAACTTCATATAACATATGGAATGGAAAAACATTATAGCTTGCTATCATCTAAACATAACCGTCTAAAAATCCTTAAATGTACTAAAAATTCTGTTTGACTGTAAAAATCCTTGAGAAAGAACTCCAGATTTTTGTTTCAAGCACTTCCTCTTATTAACTTCAAGCCTGACTTGGACCCAGCTCAAAAAATGGAAAGTGCTCTATCAAAAAAGCATACGGTAAAACAATGAAATGAAATATTTCCTGGCCTAAGAAAATAGTCTCTGTTTCTATCTCTATTAAGTCATGAAACTTTTGAAATCACCCCGACATACCTGGGCAACGTCAAAGAATCATTCTTTTGGAGTATATTCTTTTGTGACAGTTTCAATAGTGGAGCGCGTGATTGATAAAACGAAACCGTCCTTTATGCAAATTTGTGTTTATTTAATTAGCTTCGTCTGTGGCATGCAAGATGTTTATCAGGACCATATTTGGCGACTTGCTCGCAATTGTAATCATTCAATCAAAATTTGACGAAAACGAAACTTTAATATAAGAACCCTTTTGTTTCGAAACCTATTTTAGTGGTCTTCAAAGAAATTTTCTTAGCGGTTTTAACATGTATGTGGTTAATTTATAACAGGATTTCATGATATCACAAGTTTGCCAAAATAGAGTATGTGACTGCTAAATATAGTAACTCGCTTCGCCACCCGTGCCGGTGAAGTGAATATTGAACATGAAACTGTTTGGCAACCATAAAATGGATTATTAATTAATTAATAAATTCGGGCGACCAACCTGGAAGGCTGGGCGACCTACTTGTCATGGTTAGGCGCCCAAAGGGCACCCTGAAAATTTTCCTAGAGCACAGCCTTGTGTTCACCATTTGCTTTCTCTTGGCTGGACGGGGAGACAAAAAAAGAGAGTGCAATTCAGTGACACTTTTGGCGTCATTGTTATTGTGTTTCTGTGAGTTTGTGCATTTTACAGAAATTTAGAACAAACATCTCAGCGCTCAGTTGAGGTTTTGATTTTTTATCATGGATAGAAATAATTAAATTTGTGGAAGTTTTTCACCAACAATATTCACCAAATGTCATGCAAGCAACCCAGGCTATGTCCACTAAGACTGGCCACTAAAAAGATTCCACCAAGAAATTCACAAGACCTTCATGAAATGGTGGTCATGAACAATGTTTAGCACTCATGATGCTGAGTCATTGTGCATCATGGTATCACACAGCCTGAAAGGTCTGAGTTGACACAGGGTAGACCACAACTTGAATTGCAAGTAGACAAAATTTACCAAAAATACTCAGGTCAGCTTTTCATCCTGATACTAAATTGAATTTAATGTGATATGTTTTGTATTGTATGATGTATTGGTAACCACAACTTTAAACTTTGAAAAAAATATTACAAAGGATTTTAGTTTTGGGATTAAAATTAATGTCCTCCTACAATACTTGGTCAAATAGTCAAGATCACCATAATATAATCTCTTATTGGGCCACCAAAGTCTGGTTCCTGTCAATTACATGACAAGGACTGCAGTGGAGTCTACAATGGCATTCCTGTCTTGTCCCCAGAGCTCACTATACTAAGCACAAGACCTCTGGGGTATCCTTCTTAGGAAGAGGTTGTAAATCTTATTCTCTGCATGATCACAGTTGCTCACAATTAGTATCAATTTTAACAGTTATGCCAGTTTGGCTATACTTTTCAATGTACTGAATATATATACTGTTTAATGTTCTGTTCTGTTTTTGAACATGAAAAGCAAGTGTTAGCAGTGTTTGATTTTTACTGCTGTAGGTAAGCTTACAATCTAACTGAGGGTGAAAACCTTCCAACTCAGAGTGTCCATTTCATTTTCTCTTTGAGGATTTTCCTCTCTGATCACCTTATAATTGTATCAGATATGGCGCTTGACATCAGTTTACAAACCTTTTTTGGTTCCTGTGTTGCCATTTGCCAACTTGCTTGTTCCGAAATATCAATTTCAATTAATAAAAATGAGCTAGGGAGAAGTCCAGGAAATGGCCAGACATACTACAATTTGGCAGATGGCGTAACAGCTTTAGCTCCCTTGCTTTAGGTTCTATACTCTGATAAAGCAGGCTGTTTCAACAAAAGACTGTGTGTGTTATATCGAACTTTATTATAAGATAAAATATTCTTTGAAGTAGACAACTCTGACAAGTTATCAATAGAACTGATTTATTGGAACATCTTGGATGGTTGAGCGATAGAAACATGTGGTGAAACTATTAGTGGCTTTGGAAGGAAAATAATTGGAGAAATCCCCTGCAGAGGTTGGTTGGCAGGGGGGGGGGTGGAGGATAGACTTGAGTTTTTTCTGCACACCAACCAGCAGAAAATTTCCATTGGCCAAGAACACTGCTATATGTCAATTCACTGTTCTGGTTTCTTCTCAAGGGAGATGCACAAAACATTAAATAGAAAGCATTCAAGGCAAAAACTAGGCAGTTGTGCCACCTACACTGATCATCAAACTTCCAGAAAAATCTCTAGCCATACAGAAGGTATTTACAGGATAGTCTACAAGCCCCCTCTGTGCAGATCAGCATATCAACTGAAAAGTTAATAGAATAATTGTTAAGGTAGCTGACCTTTGATCAGATAGAATGTAACATCAATGAATGCATACTAACAGGTTTCTTGCACCAATGTTAAATTCAAGTTCTGACTTATAATTTTAGGACAAGCAGCTGCTTATGTAACATCTATTGCAGACTGGATTAAAGGTATTTATTGAAAATTGGGCTTTCATCTTTATATAACAGTTATTTATTTCTCTACATTCCACACTTTGTCAGCAGTACTTAAGTTACTTTATTAACTTGAAATGCATTACTTGCTTAGTCAGACGGCTAGCTAACATATATTACTTGAGTAGGCATTTTTTTATACAAGCTATTTTCTGAAGTTAATCAAAGACTGAAATATTACTTGTGCAGCTTCAAGTGTGACATCTAAAAAATACTAGCATGGGCCACAAACAAATACAGTGTGAGCTGAACTTTTGCTCAAGGAATTTGTTTTCAACAGGGCCAATTTAACCCTTTTACTCCCAACATCTTGTTTGGAGAATTTTATTTTGGATCAACCAATTATTGCCTCATTGATATTTTTCTTTATTCTTGTTATTTCTCTGCTTGATATTGTATTTTGTAAGGAGAAATTCTATCTTGGTCACACATGGGAGTTAAACGGTTATTAGGGAAGCCACCTGACAATGCGGATACTTTTATTTAAGAATAATTAAAAGTTTATTTTTGGCCACTTTTTGGAAATCAATGAGTTGATCTGATTACATTAACCTCAAAACCATCGACCAAATGGGCCGCTTCAATATTATTTGATATTTATTAATATTATTATTATCATTAATAATTATGATGATCAATCATTAGTCAAAGAAAGCTGTTATCTACATAAACTAGCATTATCCTTAATTCCAATCATTTCATTGGCTGTAAACAGTAATTGTTCCCAAAGCTGGTCCTTTGTTTTAGTTTTAATATCCAATTACTGTATGCATATAATCAACATGGCTCCCACATAAAGTCTTGCATTTGCATGCATAGATAATACTGAGTGTGTGGAAAAGATTGGATTTATCCACATGTTTGCAGTAAAACTTAAGGCAGAGAGCTAATTTTACTTACCCTTGCAGCAATCCCTACCACTAGTAATATAAATTGAGACTTGATGACTGACTCTTGTATCTTGCTGTTTCTTGAATAATTAGTCTACAGAGCTGGTTGCTTTGAAAGTTTTAACTAGTGAAAGGAGTGGGGAAATAAAATTCTCATTTCCAGGCCCTGTTCTGGGATTGTTGTCCTCTTCTCATCCCTTTTTTTCTTTACCCCTCACAAGATTTCGAACTGATCAGTCTCTTTCCATCTTCAAAATATAATGTTCTCATTAATTGATATATGGTGAATTTTTTCTTGGGAGGGGGAGGGGGGTGAACAGGTTCTTGGGCTGATTGGTTTCACTCCATCTATATTTGCACTCACAGTAATTTGTTTTGATGGTGTCTGTCTTATTGGCTGGGGAAGGGGATGTCATTACCAAATTTGATAGAGGGCTGGATTTTTTCCTTATTCCTTGAGGAAGGTAGACTTGAAACATGCAAACTGAAACAAACCTTGTATGATCAAACCTACACTCCCCAACCCATGACTGGCCTCCAAAAAATGCTCAACGGAAAAAGATCAGGGAGAGTATACTGAGTAATGGCTGTCCCTTGGAATGACAGAGGTTCTGTCAGAAGCTGTTACATTTTGGCCCTTTCTGTACATCTTTAAATTTAGAGATTTCTTTATTCATTTTTCCACGTTGTTGTTTTCAGCACCGTGTGTTGGGGGCGTGTCCTTTGTTGTAGAGAAGCTAAAAAGTGGTGAGTCATTGAAGGCCGTGTGGCTGAGTGGTGGTGGCGTTAGATTCATTTTCTGATGATCCCGCGTTCAAGCCCTCCACCTTACTATGCTTCTTAGTCGTCCTAAGTTCAACTCCTTCGCCATGTGCTGTATATAGCCAACGGGTCTGCCTCTGTCTAGTTGGGATTTTTAAAACACTATGTTTTTTTTTTACAGTAACTGTGTTCAACTTTGCATTGGCCTTGAATGGCCCCATAGGGGAAGTAGTCAATTATTATCATCTTTAATTCTCAACAATCACCATCAAGCGATTATGAAATTGTTCCTTTCTCTTGTCGGAGTAAAAAATTTTGCGAAATGCTGCAAAACTCTGCAGCACACACTGTCTGTACACACCCATTCCTATCTCGGACCGGTAATGCTAGTGCCATTTGCTTCCCAAGCAAACCTGAATTGTTATGAGCGCACGCATTCTATTCAGTGTGTGAGCGTGTTACGCGTGAAATAAATTATATGATTCTTTCTATGAACCATCTTCTGAACTATTTACCAATTGTTGTGCTTTCTTTCGACAGCTATAACTTTGGTGTGTAATTTTCGTACCGCTGCTGGTGTTCTTCTTGTGGTTAACAGTGCCATGGCTCTGCGAAAGTGCGCTACTCTCATGGACTACCAGGAGACCTTTGAAAAGCTTGTATTAAATTCAATCAGCAAGCTGACTGGGATCTGGGATGGTTCTGTACGCTTTACGGTAGAGTCTGAGAATTTGATTGCTTTGAAGAAGTTATGGGAGATGTACAAAGATGGAACACTGCAGAGTCGTCTTCAAGAATTCCTAGTCACTGATGAAATTAAGCAGCTTGCGAACGGAGAAGACATTGAAGTGACAGTATTCATTGATGAACACGAGTATAACGAAGCCTATTTCAATTTGTTTTTGCTTCATCAAGGTATGCTTGTAATGATAAAAGGTAGTCATATGCCATGTAAATAGTGGCTTGTATTTGGAAAGCTTCCTCGCACAAGTCAAAATGTAAATGTAATTTACAAGTGCGTCCTAATTGGCTAGGTTAATTCGGACAGTTCTGGTGCTACATCAGGCAAACTGAGTAATAAGTAAGAACCTATCCGGATACACTCTTTCTTATTGAAACAGTTATATCCATGGTCGAATTTCTGAATTAGTTGTCGCTGGCCCAAAGAAGCTGCTGAATTATTGATCAGCTGATTAGTGACCGTCAACAACATATACAAAACAAATCTGAAATTTCGGAACGGAACATGTTTCTTTTTTTAAATGACCTGTGTGATCGGTCATCGCCATATTATTGCAGGCTCATTTGAAATGTCGCAATTACGTTACTGTTGACGTCTTTGAGTTCTCGAGCAGTTTGGTGGCGTCTTTCCCTCATTATTTCGTAGCTGTTGTTTTCAAGCGTTCCTCCATCCCTCCCCTCCCTCCCCTCCCTCTTTTTTCCTTACACATATATGGCCAGAGTTTACAGAAGCCAGGATTGAGGGCTCATGGCTGGGTTGCTCAAGAACATTAATCGCAATTTTTTACATGGTTTAAAATTTAGACAGCTCTTAATCATCATCAAATCTTTCTTTTAATGGATCAATCAACCTCAAATCAAAGTACATTCTAATTGTTCTTGTTGGTTAATTCTTCCTTTAGCGCCAAATGTTGAACAGGAAGAACGGCCTGGACGAAGAACCCGAAGGAATTCGGACTCATTTCTTTGCGTCAAACCCAACGAGAATGAGATAGGCTTGATGAAGCTAATGGAGGAAACAGAAGACAAATGGAGGGAAGAGAAAAAAATGCTTGAATTAAGGATCGCAGAGCTTGAGGAAACTCTGAAGGCGGAAAGGACGAGAGATCTGGATCGTAAGCATTTAGGTACCTAGTTACACCTAATTTATTTTTGCAAAATGTATAGGGGATCACTGGTAAAATAGAGGGCAGAGTAAATTTCTTGCAAACATATAACTATCGTATTGCATTAGAAAATACCTTTCATGTCCTTCCCACGAATTGGTTCAATTGATTTTTCCTGGGACGGAAAACTAGGTAAAACATAGCGGAAGCATCTATTTTCACCAAATTCAAATAAAAGTTAACTTAATCGGGGCCATAGGTGAGTGATACCGTATTTACCGTAAGCAAGCGTGGTGTAGAACCAGCTTTAAGTAAACTGAAACATTGTTTCCGTGTGGTTAACTTGTAAGTGCCGTCGCTCTTTCTTAGGTCCATGACTAGCAAGCGATTTCAGCCTACTGTCGTGGTGTTAAGTTTATCTTACAAAATATGGAAGTCATTATGAATCAATAAACTTTCGTGTGATAAAGGTTTTTTTTTAAATAATTGCGAAGAAAAAACGTCATAGGTCATGCGTAATAGGAATAGATTCCAGATTTTGAACCATTTAAAGTTATGTTTTATACCTGTCTCACCTCAGGCAGCTCACTTACACTGCTTGTTTTGCGAAACGCCTTATGCTAATTTATTCGGGCAACAATAACAGCAGCAGTGAAAATCACCATTTTCTTCGTTTTCAGCAAAAGGGGGAACAACGTGAGAATTTTTGAACGCCTCTTATTTTGAACAGTTAATCTGTTGTTATTCCAACTAAGTGAAAGATGTTATTATAATTATGTCAAAATCCATTTAACATAACTGAACGTACAAGTACCTTTGTTACGGTTCGTTGTCAAAGTTTAAATGAAATGTCACATTCTCCATATGAACCGAACGATAGCAATGATGACAAATACATCTATCGACATGAAAAGCCTGGTTAAACAAAAGAGAAACTCTCTTCCTTCACAATCACTTGCCATAAGTAAGTCATCAAAAATTGTCGTTGGAAATAAAAAAAATTATAGATAAAAAGTAGGTCAACTACTTATTTTGGTGAACTCTTAAATCCTTTCCTGAAAAGGTATTTTAAGTGTAATCATTGCCAATCGTACCCCTCAATTCTAAGCTATTTCATTGTTTTTTTTCTGTATTAGAATATGAGATTCTCGAACATCCAAGAAAAAGACATCGAAGAAACTCTGATTCCAATCTGTATTGCAAAGCAAGGAAAGTGGAGGCTGAACAAACTGAAAGCCAACTAGAGCGAGCTTTAGAGGGTGGAGTACAATTGGATATCGAGAAGCGTATGTTCGTAGAGAATTATTTACAGAATATCCATGAAACACACAGCATGACGACAGAGACAAGTGACAGCGGAATAAGAACGCATGGTGCAACATCTGAGATAGAAATGCAAGACATATCTGGTAATTATTTCATTTTAGTCATGGCATGTCAGTCCCCAAAGTGTTTGGCAGATAGCAGAGTGAAATTTCAGCAGGATCGTAAAACACTGAGTTACTCCACCAGTACATGTAACCTACAGGGGAACTTTTCTGTGGTTAGAGATCGGATGAACTTCAGGTCTCTTGGAAAGATATCTAGTTCACAAGAGAATTGAACTAAATGAGCGCTTTAGGAGTTAACGAGATTCTGGATGGAGATCGGGTGTTACTACACTGTGGATCAGCAGACCGCGGAACCTCTGAACTCTATATTTTTAGTAAAAGGATAGTAGTTAAATAAAATAGAATACTGTAAAATGTTTTCGGGTATGAAGAAGATTATGTATGTAGTATGTTTTAAATGTCGTCGACGTCCAACTTTAACTGTGGCGACATTCACCGTAAAAGGGTATTTAATGTCATAATGAGCAATCAGCAGTCACCTACCCCGTGTGAGAGCTGGAATTAGCGGCGTTAAATTCCATTCCTTGGACATTGTACCTGGGATGAGGAACATGAGCGTAAAGAAACATCATCGCATGTTTATCGCGAAACTTATTGTTTTCTGTGTATTTTGTTTACGCGTTAATTACCTGCGGGTGTTTTTACGTTTCATTAGTTGTATCATGTACCTGTAGTTGATGTTTTTACCGTTTGTGTGATGTTACGTAATTATGTTGAGTAATTTGTCAGGTTTTGTGAATAAATTTAGTCCAGTGGATCAATTTTTATGTCCACTTTTTAAGAAGCAGCGTTGTCGTTCATTTCCATGCAAATCCTTATATTTCACCCATTGCGCAACGTGAACATGTTTGCATATTCACAGAGGCTCACTGTGTGAGCTTGGTTTCCTGTGGTTGGACGTCAAGAATTGAAAGTAACAAAAAAGCCACATTTCCCTTTTAACGTTATCTTCTTTTTACCCGAAAACGAAATTTCGAAGTGTTAAGGTATTTTTAGCTTTTATTTTATTATATTATTACTTTTTTTCTTACAAAAAAATCTAATGGTTCTGCTGGTTCCGCTGGTTCCGCTGGTTTTGCGGGTTCCGGAGGCTCCACGGTCTGCTGATTTACAATTTAATAACACCCATCGAGATCTTGCTTAATGATTTTAAAGTAAAAAGCTGATATCAGTTGAGCACCAACACCTTTATTTTAACAACAACCTAAAGTGGAGGAGAATTACATCAATCAGTTTGTGTTGAGCTTTCACTTAGTTACTCTTTGCTATGTTCGATTTCGCGTAAGACTGAACAGTACTATCCTCGATAAAAAAGTAATGATTATGATGATAATAATAATGAGAGCCACCCCCCTTTTTGTTTTGAATTCTTTGTATGTTGGTATTCATCTTTTTTCAGGCGACGACCACAAACTTTGCTGGAAAGATCTCAGCAGCGAAGTAATCAGAAAACTGGAGAAAAGACTGAAAAACGATCAAACTGCTTTTAAACAAGTATGTCAGTCATTTGGAATTAATGGAATACCGATATTCTCTGGGGAAAGTACAGTTGGTGGAATTCTCAGTATGTTTCCGTATACACCTGTTAAGCCATTAGAAGAAGTCTTTGAAGCTTTACAGTTACATGACCTGATTGATTTGCTTGAAGAAGGAAAACCACGAGCCACAAGATCGCTGCGACCTGCTCTTCGTTTACAGGAAATAGAGAAATTAAGGAATCCTGATGATCGTCCCATATCTTATCACAGCAGTGTTGCTGTTCTGATTATTGACATTGCGGAGACTTGCGACACCAAGGGGATTAAAAAGTTTTTCAAAGCTCTTAACACTAAGAGCAAGGTAACTGTGATGCGCAGCAGAGACATTATTGAAATAGTTAGAAGTTTCCCGGTATCGCTGGAGAAGTTGGAGGGGATCAAGAGAGAGATGAACAAATTGAGTCCGACCTCTTCAGAAGTCATACAGAGTTGGATATCCAATCAAGGTTGGTGAAAATATGTAAACGGAAATTAACAAAAAAAGAACGCGGTCGTGGTGGTATGTCTGCATACCACGAAACAAACATATCTTTAATAGTTAAGCCAAAGCTAGATCGTCGTGGTCTATATTTCGGGTTTATGGTAGGTGCATAATTTATTGGTGATTTATAACACTTGAGGGCATGAGTAGAACTTTGTTAGTGCCATAACCTTAGACGAGAACGGTATTATGGTTGCACTTTGCACCATGAGATCCTCGCCCAAAAGTTAAAAAGTTTCTTTGAGGATTTAAGACTTAACACTATGGTCTAAGAATCAATAAATCGATATATCACCAGAAACAAGGGAACATTTACCATGCAGAACAGAAGTTCTTTCAGCATATCCAGGCAAGGAGAGGTAAGCGCGAGGCGAGCACGAAATGGAAGACACGCGCGAGAGGAGGCGCGAGTCACGTACTCCTCCTCTTGCATGCGGCTCACCCTACGCCCTCTCCTCGCTTTCACCTTGCGTTTGTCTCCGCCCGCTAAAAAAATAGTTAAGAGTAACGCCTGCTCTTCAGGCGAGGGAACAACTAATTTCCTAATTCATGCCGCTTGTGGTTGGAAACAAATCTGTTCTTGATTCAGTCTAATTTAATGGCATCGACCGTAGTTAAAATGAGTCAAGGCGCTTTTTTTCGAGCAAGCGATCATGATAAATACAGAGAAATAATTTCCATTAACATAAATCAACTTGTGGTCTTACATCTGTTACTGAATATTTAATCGTCAACTGTAATTCGTAGTTGTAGTTTTGTAACGAGGAGACTTACATTTTGCGTTCGTTTTAAATTTATCCTCAGATAAATATTCGTTAGTTGCTGTATTTTTCATCTTCGATGATGCCCATCCTTGGCTCTCCATAGAACAAAATTCATTTGTTAAATCTGTAAAGGAGAGGTTGGTCACCGCATTCCCCACAAAAGTGAAATTGATCATCCATTCGTCGCCCTATCAGCTGCATTCATGGCAGGACAAAGAGCTTGTTGAGGTGCCTGTTTCTCCTGGTGCTACTTTTCTACCTTTGATGCTGGAGATTTTTAACAAACGCTGGAAAACGATGGACCTGATATCAATGATGAGAGAGTTAGAGAGGTCTTTGCCAGAAAAGTATATTGAGAGAGACAGTCTTTTTCGAGGAGACTTTCAAGGGTCAATTATGAAGGAGACTTTGTCGTGTCTTGTAAGGTTCATAATGCATGAAGAGCCGAGTAATTAGTAATATTGCGGCAGGAAGCGAGGTGAACCATTAAGGCTAACTGAATTAGATTATACTCAGTTTTAACTGAATTTAGCTAAATACGGAGGCCACATTTCAGACATTTACGTTGTAAAATTAGTCTTTTTTGAAAACGCTGTCCTGCCTCCTACTTGGACAATTTTATACCGGATATATACGATCGTCTGAGACCCAAGTGACCTAAACTCAGATTTAAAGCGGCCTCGTTTTTGTCTGATCGTATTTTTAGTTCCATCGTCTCTAATTATGACGGCATTTTGTCGAGCAGGCAGCTATGCCAAATACTGATGACTAATTCCAATTAACTTCGCTCATCTTGGGATACTACTTTTATATCATTGTGTTTTCGTTTGGCGGGTACTAACTTTTACCTGAAAAGGAAGCTTACACTTTGCATTGTTTGTAAAATTCCTTAGAGAACTATTCGTTATTTGTTGTATTTTTTATCTACGATTGGCCCTTTTCTCCAACGACCGATCGAAATCAGTTTTTGACGATCTCCCTCTTAGTCGTATAGTATCCAAAACATCAGTGCTAGGGGCGGAGATAGTTAATGAAAAAAACCTTCATAAGGCACAATAGGATCTCCAAATTGAATAGTGTAAATAGTGCTATAAGGATAACGGCTGTCATCCTTAGCTTTGTTCTCTTTTAAGATTCCGGTATTATTTGCTGTTATTGGCTCCCATAGTATTTTCCCCTTTGTTTCACAGAAGTGTTTTCTCATTGAGAATAGCCCATGATGTATAATAAGTATGTTAACCAATGCAAATTAAACTTTTTATGCTATCACGTTCTCCGAAACTTTGAAGATCATTGTTCATTTCACTCCAATTTTTTTTACGAATTGTATGGTTAACTTTTAGCGGAGAAGTATTATCCACTATTCATAAGATTTTGGTATAAGTATAGCAAATCGCACGTACGCGAGTGCATATCGTGACAAATAGGCGCGAGTGATTATTTAGAAGTTTTCGTTATCTCTCGAATTTTTCGAGAGTGTAATTTGAAAACCTCTCACAGCATCACGAGGGACCATAAATCATGAAATGCTCGAACAGAAACAAATAAGATCTCACAAATGCATGAAATGCACCAGATCTAATTTAATTCACTTTTCTTTACTCCCTAAATGACAGCTGCGGGGAAAAAACCTCTTTTTGAAAGTATTACAACTCTGATGTATGAACGGTTGAAAGCAAACGGAGAGAAATAAAAATTCTTGCCTTTTGACGTTTTCTGCAAAATTTACGCTTAACTTCGCTAACAGCAAAAAGCGTGATCTCCCTCTTAACCGTATAGTTTCTAAAAGATCGGTGTTAGGGGCGGAGAAAGTTAATGAAACACAATTCCATAAGCGACAATAGGATCTCTAATTTCAATAGCGTAAATAGTACAGTGCTATAAGGGTAACGGCTTAATTTTTTAATTTTCTACAATTCCTTAATGGCAGCATACATTCCAACTGTAAAAGGACGTAAGACAATGGGTTTGTGTTTTCGCCCAAAACCAGCTCGAGAACAACAGGTGCTTGTGCTTAAAACCACTTTAAGCGATGTTTTACTAGGGTGTGAAAACTTGTGTACTCATTCAAAAGTGTGCAGCTCAAATGAAAAAGCAAACGAGACTACGAAAGGTAATTTTAAATGTGGTGAAAACAGCCTGAGTTTGTTGAAATGATGGTTTGAAGTCATGGATACTTAATTTCCTAGGAAGGTCGACCAAACTGGTCAATTCCAGTGAAAAATATTTGATGATTGCACAAACAAACATTGTCTTCTAGAGAAGTGATCATAATACTGTTTTCTTGCGCGAAAACGAATAAAAAACATCCAGTATTATGTTTACTTGTACGAAAAATAAAGAAAACATTATTCATTAGAAAGAAGTTACTCGTGGTTATCATGTTCAAACTTACAACTTCTATCCTTTCGCAGAATCCTCTCCCCCTGAACAACGAATTCTAAGAGACTGAAGTCCCCGGGCTTTGTTCGAGTGTGTTCGAGTGCTAGCCTTGACGTTAAGCTAACTGCGCCAGGTGAGGGAAGCCCACTCTCAAGCAAAAACCTAGCGATAAAGTGTTTGTGTTAATGCGCCCAATGCAAAACAGCGCGTGACAAAATTGTGTTAACCTAAGAAGTCCCGTTTGACTCAACAACACACTCCGATTGACCGGCGTGTCAGAAACTACCCTCCCATCCCCTGAACTTTGGACAGTCATTTCAACCTCAAAACCTTACAAGGGAACCTATGTAGGTATGTCAAGAACTGTTTTAACATGTTCAGATTAGGTAACCGATTGATTAAACGTAAACGATCATCTTTAATTTGCACACATTAGTTCTGAAGAACTATCATTTCTCCTGAAATTGCCAGCTTGAATTGAATAAACGGGACACTGATTTAAGTGAGATAGAACCGTGAATTCAATAATCTACCATGAATTGCGTTCTGGCTGGATCTTGATTCATCAAGGTGGACAAGTTTGATGTAGATAAGCAATACCTGATGTGTCGAGAAGGCCTCTTATCCCATGATTTGCTGCAAGCCACAACTGGACAGTCTATATTAATAGTATGGCATCATTATGAAATCAGCATTTATATACTAAATGCATATAATTAGCCTCGTTTTATCCCCACTAAAATTCCTTGCGCCGGCTTGTATAGGGCCCGTATAGCCTAACATTTAAAATTATGTTCCTAACAAAGCGTCCACCTCTGTCGGATTGTCTGGGCTCTGTTTCCAACAATAACTTCCCATTTATTGGTTGACCCTTAGTAGTACAACTGAAAACTTTCAGCGAGTGGAAGGCTTTCCTCTCTACTACGCGTTATGCAAGTAAACAATGCTGTTTATTAGCCTCTGATCTCTTTTCTCTACTTGCTGCATAAGTGCACGATACCAAGAAGCATGGGTAATTCCTAGCAGATCGATGATCGTTATGAAAAATACTTTTATTTTTGCGTCAAGCCAATAATTCTTGTCGCATCGACGAAAGGAACGTCTGTGATATCAGGGCATCTGTATACTACCACGTGATAGACTGGGTGTATCGCCCTCAATTTCGATTCCAAGCAAACTGAACTTGACTCTTATTCTGTATGATTACGTCTCTAAGACATTGCTGATGCCTTTTTGCTGATAGTGAGTCAGTCCAGCGACGCCTCCCAGAGGATGATAACTCTTCGAGTTCGGGGATTGGGCACAAATCACATCAGAGAACGAACATCGGAACGATTGACTGAAATTCCTCTTTCAAGAGCTAAAATGAAAGAAATGTCGAGAGTTTTTATCACGAATATCTTGATGAATTTTTCTCCCGGTACTTAGACCCTACCCACCCTAAACAAACAGGGTTTGGGTCTGGTAGCTCGCGTGACGTTCGTACACGGTCGGTTTTCGAACGTCACGCGAGCTGGTAGTTAGTCATGCAACACTTGAAGTCACAATTCTTCCGCCTGTGTCCGCCATGTTGGTCGGCTTAGTTAACAGGCCTTAGTTAAACTCTGCATCATCTTCGCGCTACAGAAGACCCATATATTCAGAAAATATGTCTGAAATCGAGTATTATGACCTTATATTTGAGATAAGTACGAAAATTGACGTAAACCAATTAGAAAGATTGATTTTTATGTGCACAAAGAAGATCTCAGAAGGCAGTGAAGGAACTATAAAAAGTGCACGCGGATTATTTAAAGAACTTGAGAAACAAGGTTACCTCGGAATCGACCGGTTAGAAAATTTAAAAGAGATTTTGAAACAGTTGAAGAAGCGATCCATGCTCAAGAAGGTGGAAGAGTTTGAGATCAAGAGAAGAGGTACCCAATTAAATATAATGCTAGTCATATTGATTTGTTTTGAGGTCAGTTCAGCGAAGGAAATTTTAAAAGCCGGAAGTGCCTTGGTGCTCGAGAAGTTCAATTTAAGGCTTTGAGTTTCTTCATTTGTTGCATAGGAAATGATTTCTTGTTAAGAAGGACTATGTATCATATTAATTTGATAATTTCGTCTAGCAGTTATTGCTTTGGAATGTTAAGTTTCCATGTTGCCACTATTAAGAATCTTTTGTTATCATGACTTTAGAAAACCTCACGATTCCTTAAAATTTCAGCTCAGTCAGTTGGCATCATTGCTTCATTTAAGCAGGCTGCTGTCAATTTGAAAGGAGGTAAGGTGTAAAAAGGCGAGGTTCTTGTGCATTTAAAATATTTAGGGCAAACAGACATAGGCCGGATGCTGAACACCAGTAACAGAAATGTTAGATAAAATTAGATAGTATTTGTAATGGTGTAAGAATCAGTACTTAGCCTGTCATGCATAATGACATAGTTTTATTAGAGTATTTTTGTGTGCTTAGCAATTAATTCAACTCTCATAAGCCCCAGTTCATCTAATGTAAGTTCCAAATAGCCAGAAGCAAGGATAATCAGGGATACAGGCAAAAATACATGACTAATCTTTCCAACCTCTCTTCTAAACTTTCCATTTTAGATGAGTACCAAATAGTATAATTCTTTCAATGCTCACAAACTTTCAAAATTTAGCTTCTGCTTGATGTACTGACAAAATTTGAAATTATTTTTATACGCCCAAGCTTACAATATTCTAGCTACTATGCATGGATGCATACCCAGATCAATTGCTCAAAATGCATTTTTACATATTAAATTAGTTTAACCTGACAAGGCACTAATCTGGAAGCTTTAGAGAGAGAATTAATTAGGATTTGTGCTTGTGGAAAATTTGCCATCTATATAATGCTGTGATATTATCTCTAGCTTTCAATCACAACTGGAAAATTATATTTAAGAAATGCAGATTTTTGTCAATATTTCCAGAGGTTCCCTTCCTTCCTTCCTCCATTCATTCTCATGGTGCTAGTCAAGTGAAATGACTCTTTTTTTTTCTGGTAGGTTAGGGTTGGGTGTGTGTGTGCCTGTGGGTGTGGGCGTGTGCATGTGTGTGTGTGTGTGTCTGAGGGGGTGGGGGTGGTTGGCAGCTTTTCGGCTAAACTGAGCTTGAAAATAATTATAGCCATAGAATTGTATAAAATTCATAGCATTGTATAAAATTTTAGAATTGGCTTAAATGATGTTGGATATATAGTTTGTTACCGGTTTGGACGCCAGGCCTTGTTTGAAAGACATACACAAATGGCCTTCAGCCTGTAGTTGTCTATTGTTAATGTGGTGCAGTGACTTTAAAATCTGCCACATTTATTATTTTCAGTGGGTTTTTGTTAAGATTTTCATACCTGGCATTACACAGTGTTCAAAAGTATTCCAGTCCAGTCATGTCAATTGAATTAATTTGCATTCTGAGAACAAACCAAAAGATTGTGTACAGGCTGAAACTCTTATCACCACTGTGAATTATTTTATCTTTGAGTTTTACCCAGCTTCAAATTAACTTATCATTATTCTCCTCCACAAAACAAACACTGTTGGCAGCTAACAAAGATTTTAGCAGTGAAGACTAATGCACATTATACAGAATTTACCTTTGGACACTGATTCTTGGCCCTTAGTTGGTATTTTACAACACAATACAAATTAAGTTAAGCTCTATGTTACTGACTTCTTAGTGATCAGGTGATTATGGTTTGTGTAATCAGGGACCGTGCAGCAAGTTTTTGGGTGGGGGGGGCTAAAGAAGAACGAGTGAAGGAAAATTTTTTTGTTAAATTAGTTTTTGTTTAATTTATTTTTATTCTTGCAAAAAAGTGGGGGGGGGGCTAAAGCCCCCCCCCCAGCCCTCCCTCTGCGCGGTCCCTGGTAATGTGTTACAACTCCTTTTTTGCATGCAGTTACAATAACCTCAACACATCATTTACAGAGGCAAAGCCATGGAAAATTAAATTTGTATGGCTTTCTCTGGTATACTACTGAAAACATAATTTTCAAAACTGAGGTTTAGTGTTGTTCTTGTGGGTTCAATATTGTATCCTAGTTTATTTTTGCCCTCTCCCAAGAAAGCATATCAATACTGTATTTTGATAAATTTTGTTTCTATACACACACTGAAAAACTGTTAGAAACTCTAACTGTCTCAAAAACAATATTCTTACCTTTAAGTGTTCGTAGAAGAGAAGTTTATTATTGATTCAGACTAATTTATTTCTTACTATTAAAAAAAATCTGCATTTGTAAAGAAGCTATTTGCATACCACGAATAATTTTGAGTGTATTCAAAATTAGTCAATGTAATTTTATTTTTAATGTCTTAAAATAACTCAAACAAGGCTGTAATTCTTCTGTAACTGATATTGTGAAAATTTCTGGAGTAGTGTGTGTGGGTGCATGTGGTGTGTGTATGTGTGGAGTGGGTGAGTGTGTGGAGGGGGGAGGGGGCAGCATTGTGGCACAATTTTATCTCAGAGAAATTGTTTTTTTAGAAAAATTGGTATGCGTTTGTTGCATGTTTCTTTTGATGAGATACACTGTACTGTGATTACTTAAGATAAAAAATGACTTGTTTCAACAGCGATCAAGATGGTTTGTAATTTTCGCACAATTGGTGGTGCTCTCCTGGTAGTTAGTAGTGGCATGGCTCTCCGTAGCTGCTCAACTCTTGATGAGTTTGTGGAGACCTTCAACAAAGTTGTACTGGTTGCATACACCAATCTGGTTGAGATCAGTGAGGGATCTCTGTGCTTTACAATACAAGCAGAGACGCCAGCGGCTCTAAAGGAATTATGGAACACCTACAAAGATGGAACATTACAGAGACGTCTTCAAAAATTTCTAGTTACCGATGACATCAAACAGTTGACAGATGCAAAAGACATTGAGCTGGCTGTTTTCATCGATGAGCAAGAGTATGTGATGTCATTTAATTTTCTGCAAAATGAAGTTATGGTAACATATGTACAGATGCGTGTTGAATTTAAGTTTGGACAAATATAACGTTGAACGGGAAAAGCTACTACGATAGGGTTAAAATTCCCCGGGAAAGTTGTTGAAAACACATCCTATATCCAAATATTTTAACAGACCAATTCTTACGTTTACATAGAACCTGCCCTCCCCCCTCGAACAATGTTGGTGAAATTAAACAGTCTCCACGTCTTGGTCAAGTTTACAGAGTACAATTCAACATTCTTTGGGGGAGAGGGGGAAGGATTTGATTTTAGTAATTTTGCGTTAAGTGTCTTAAGACTTTTAACCTCCTCTGTGGGTCAAACAGTGAGAAACATGTTTCGTCAAGGTGATCCTGAGTCCGTTTGAAGCTGTAAATTATAAAAAAAGGGAAAAGGAAGAGTCACCCTTTCAGCACGGGAAACTAATCCTCAACTGAAACAAGTAATCAGCCTGTTTTAAAGTAAAGAACATACGGTTACCCAGAAGTGATCTCGATATCTTGCATTGAACAATGATTGCTGTATCTGACAATCCAGCAAGATTGGTTGATCCTAGCTTAATCCTCTTTCTTATTGTATCCTTCCAGCAGTGCCTGATTTGAAAGTAGAGCGGTTTCGAAGGAAATCTGACTCCTTCTTTCACATCAATTCAAATCAGAGAGAGATTGCAATGATGAAGCTGACACAAGCAAAAAACCAGTTGAGCTTTGAAAGACAAGTTCATGGAGAGGAAATAAAGAAACTAAAGGAGAAGACTATCCTGGCAAGAGAGCCGAGGGGTAGGATTGATTAAACTCTGCATTTTGTACGTATCCTATGCTCTGGCTGGGATCAGTTATGGGACAATATGAAGGTTATATTTTACAACACATTCATATGGGATAGAGCTCGGGAATCAGCTGGGTTTTGTGTGGAGTAGAGTATAACTCAATTGAAAAAGTAAAGAATGTCTCAGAAGAATGGTATCTTCTATATTTTCAGATCAATCTGGCATGCTTCGTATAGTTTACACTACAACCAAATGCTAAAGCACCAAGAATGCATGCTGATAATTTCATTCCCTTCGTTCATCGCCGGTCTCGGTTCAAAGAAGTCAGGGATGTTTTTCCGCTCATTTCGATGTAACCTGACAAATTGGTTTTATTTTTAAAAATTCTATTGTTTATCTTTTATACAGCATAAATTTTGTGCAAACATGAGAAGCTATCCTCAATTTTTCCACTGTAGCGAGTTAATGTTGTTAAATAAATGCTTCCTGGAGAAAAAGGGGTAGAAGATACCGCAAGCAATTCTTTAAGTAAAATTCAGTCAGAAGTTAGATTAATCGAAAACGAAAGAGAATGAAACGTGACGCAGAGTAGAGTACATATCAAACCAACCTTGTAAGCAAACTGGAAGTTGTTTGCACGCGGTTAGCTGATCAGTATTGTCGCTCTTTCTCAGGGCCATGACTTTCTAAACAATTTGTTATCCTGCTGTCCTGGTGTTCAATTCTTCGAAGAAAACAAGAAACAGGACCATCATAGAAAATATGTTAAATGTTTCGGGAAACAAGTACGGACTATAGTACTTTTATCGTCATTTGAAAAGCGATGATGTGTTGTATTCTTTTCTCTTCCGCGATCTTGTCTTGTAACACTAAGCAGATTATTGACCATACTTCTTCGGCGAAACGCGTTCTGACGTACATGAGTATAACGAAGCCTATATCAATTTATTTTTACCTCATCAAGGTATGATTGCAATGATAAAAGGTAGTTATATGCCATGCAAATAGTGGCTTGTATAGGGAAAGTTTCCTTGTACAAGCCAAAATGTAAATGTAATTTATAAGTGCCTTCTAATTGGTCAGGCTAATTCGGGCAGTTCTAGTGCTGCATCGGCAAACTGAATAATACGTAAGAACTAATTGGATTCACTCATTTTCTGTTTGAAACAATTTCATCCATAATCAAATTTCTGAGTTAGTTTGCTGGCCCAAAGAAGCTCCTGAATTATTGATCAGCTGATAAGTGACCGTCGACAACACATAAAAGACAAATCTGAAATTTCGGATTTTTTTTAATGATCTGTGTGATCGTAATGATCCAGGCCAGGTCTCTGTAATTGACTGACAATTTAACAAAGTCAACCGTCGTGAGCTTCGCAGCGTTTCCTAGTGATCGGTCATCGCCATATTATTGTAGACTCATGCGGAACGTCGCAATTACGTTACAGTTGACGTCTTTGAGTTCTCGAGCAGTTTGGTGGCGTCTGTTTCTCACTAATTCGTAGCGATTATTTTCAAGCGTTCTTCCATCCCTCCCCGCTTTTTTAGAGTTTACAGAAGCCTGGATTGAGGGCTCATGGCTGGGTCGCTCAAGAACATTAATCGTAATTTTATACACCCGGAAAACTGGGTGAAACCCAGCGGAAGCATCTTTCATTCAAATAAAAGTTAACTTAATCGGGGCTATAGTTGAGTGATACCGTATTTACCGTAAGCAAGTAAATTAAGCAAATTGGAACATTGTTTGCTTGTGGTTAACTTGTAAGTGTTGTCGCTCTTTCTTAGGTCCATGAATAGCTAGTGATATTAGCCTGCTGTCGTGGTGTTCAGTTTATCCTAGAAAATAAGGAAGTCATTATGCATCACAAAATTTTCGTTTGATAAAGGTTCATGAAAATAAGTACAAAGGAAAAAACGTCAAATGACGTGCACAGTAGGAATAGATTCTGGAACTTGAACCATTATTAGAAAAGCAAAATTTTGTTTTATACCTGTCTTACCTTAGACAGCTTACTTTCACTCCTTGTTTTGCAAATCGCCTAATGCTAATTCATTGAGGCAACAAGAACAGTAACAATAAAAATCACCAGTTTCTTCGTCTTTAGCAAAGGGGGGAACAACGGGAGAATTTTTTAACGCCTCTTTTTTTGAACAGTTAGCCTGTTGTTATTTCGATGAACTGAAATATATTATTATAATTTTGTCAACATTCATCTAACGTAACTGAGTACACACGTACCTTTGTTATGGTTCGTTGTCAAAGTTTAACTGAAATGTCACATATTCTTCATACGAACCGAACGATAGTAATTATTATAGATACATCTATCAAAATGAAAAGCCTGGTTAAACCAAAGAGAGACCCTCTCCCCTCACATCCACTTGCTATAAGCAAGTCACCAAAAAATTGTCGCTAGAAATAAGCAAAATTATAGATAAAAAGTAGGTCAACCACTTATTTTGATGAACTCTTAAATCCTAAAAAGATCTTTCAAGTGTAATAATTACCAATCGTACTCCTCAATTTAAGCTATTTTACTTCATTGTTTTTTTTTCTGTTTCAGACTATGAGATTCTCGAACGTCCAAGAGAAAGACGTCGAAGAAATTCTGATTCCAATCTGTATTACAAAGCAAGAGAAGAGGAGGTTGAACAAACTGATAACCAACCAGAGCGAGCTTTAGAGGGTGGAGTACAATTGGATAACGAGAAGCGTTTGTTCGTAGAGAATTATTTACAGAATATCCATGAAACACACAGCATGACGACAGAGACAAGTGACAGCGGAATAAGAACACTTGGTACAACATCTGAGATAGAAATGCAAGACATACCTGGTAATTATTTCATTTTAGTCATGGCATGTCAGTCCCCAAAGTGTTTGGTAGATAGCAGAGTGACATTTCAGCAGGATCGTAAAACACTGAGTTACTCCGCCAGTACATGTAACCTACAAGGGAACTTTTCTGAGGTTAGAGGTGGGAAGAACTTCAGGTCTCTTGTAAAGATATCTAGTTCACAAGAGAATTGAACTAAATGAGCGCTTTAGGAGTTAACGAGATTCTGGATCGAGATCGGGTGTTACTAAACTGTGGATCAGCAGACCGCGGAACCTCTGAACCCTATATTTTTAGTAAAAGAATAGTAATTAAATAAAATAGAATACTATAAAACGTTTTCGGGTATAAAGAAGATTATGTATGTAGTATGTTTTAAATGTCGTTGACGTCCAACTTTAACTGTGGCGACATTCACCGTAAAAGGGTATGTAATGTCATAATGAGCAATCAGTAGTCACCTACCCCGAGTGAGAGCTGGAATTAGCGGCGTTAAATTCCATTCCTTGGACATTGTACCTGGGATGAGGAACACGAGCGTAAAGTAACATCATCGCATGTTTATCGCGAAACTTATTGTTTTCTGTGTGTATTTCGTTTACGCGTTAATTACCTGCGGGTGTTTATTTCGTTTCATTAGTTGTATCGTGTATTTGTGGTTGATGTTTTTACCGTTTGCGTGATGTTACGTAATTATGTTGAGTAATTTGTCAGGTTTTGTGAATAAATTTAGTCCAGTGGATCAATTTTTATGTCCACTTTTTAAGAAGCAGCGTTGTCGTTCATTTCCATGCAAATCCTTATATTTCACCCATTGCGCAAGGTGAACTTGTTTGCATATTCACAGAGGCTTACTGTGTGAGCTTGGGTGTCCTGTGGTTGGACGTCAATAATTGAAGGTAACAAAAAAGCCACATTTCCCTTTTAACGTTATCTTCTTTTTACCCGAAAACGAAATTTCGAACAGTGTTAAGGTATTTTTAGCTTTTATTTTATTATATTATTACTTTTTTTCTTACAAAAAAATCTAATGGTTCTGCTGACTCCGCTGCTTCCGCTGGTTTTGCGGGTTCCGGAGGCTCCACGGTCGGCTGATTTAAAATTTAATCAATCCCATCGAGATCTTGCTTAATGATTTTAAAGTAAAAAGCTGATATCAGTTGAGCACCAACACCTTTACTTTAACAACAACCTAAAGTGGAGGAGAATTACATCAATCAGTTTGTGTTGAGCTTTCACTCAGTTACTCTTTGCTATGTTCGATTTCGCGTAAGACTGAACAGTACTATCCTCGATAAAAAATAATGATTATGATGATAATAATGAGAGCCACCTCCCTTTTTGTTTTGAATTCTTTGTATGTTGGTATTCATCTTTTTTCAGGCGACGACCACAAACTTTGCTTGAAAGATCTCAACATCAAATTAATCGAAAAACTGGAGGGAAGACTGAAAAACGATCAAACTGCCTTTGAACAAATATGTCGGTCATTTGGAATTGATAGATCACTGTTCCTCTCTCGGGAAAGTATATTTAGTGGAATTCTCAGTATGTTTCCGGATACACCTGTTAAGCTATTAAAAGAAGTCTTTGAAGCTTTACAGTTATATGACCTGATTGATTTGCTTGAAGAAGGAAAACCACGAGCCACAAGATCGCTGCGACCTGTTCTTCGTTTACAGGAAATAGAGAAATTAAGGAATCCTGATGATCGTCCCATATCTTATCACAGTAGTGTTGCTGTTCTGATTATTGACTTAGCGGAGACTTGCGACACCGAGGGGATTGAAAAGTTTTTTAAAGGTCTTAACACTAAGAGCGAGGTAACTGTGATGCGCTGCAGAAACGTTAATGAACAGAACATCAAGAGAGAGACGAACAAATTGAGTCCGAAAGTTTCAGAAGTCATACAGAGTTGGATATCCAATCAAGGTTGGTGAAAATATGTAAACAGAAATTAACAAAAAAAGAACGCGGTCATGGTGGTATGTCTACATACCACGAAACAAACATAACTTTAATAGTTAAGCCAAAGCTAGATAATCGTGGTCTATATCGCGGGTTTATGGTAGGAGCATAATTTATTGGTGATATATACCACTTGAGGGCATGAATAGAACTTTGTTAGTGCCATAACCTTAGACGAGAACGGTATTATAGTTGCACTTTGCAC